AGCTTACCGGCGCGATTTTGACGTTCATTTTGTCATCTAAGGGAATTATCATACCGGGACGAACATCACCTCTTTGATGCAATATTCAGAGTAGAATATTTAGCTTAAACTAATAAACCTTCTTTCTAGCTATTGCGTACAAACAGGCCATAGTGGTGTGCGCAAGGTGTGCGATATTTGCGATAGTCGAGTTGAGGTAAGCTCCTCACAGTGGAACGTTAAATAACTTCATTTGCATAATTAACATCAAAATAATGTAACTTCGAGTGCCTACATATGTTGGAAGTCAACTCTCCCACAACCACCGTATTTGCTGTCCACAAAAGGCAGAGGGAAATAGCCTATGTAGTAGCAAATGCCAATAGGAAACGAGCGCTGGCAAGGCTGTAAGTGGTTCTCCTCTTTCGAAGGTTGTTAACAGGTATGCTGATAACGGTTTGACTCCATGGCATGTCCATTACCAATTTATCATGGGAGAATGAATAAATTGTAGTGGAATTGCTTGTTTCAATTTTGCAAGACACTGCATATGTGTTGTTTACAATGAAAAAATTTTTGGTTTAGTCCTTGGCACTCATATTTTACATTTTCGAATCTGGTGTAGTAATGAGCTAAGCTTTTCAGGCTCAGTGAATCAGATCTTTTCATCAAAGGAATGCTAATCTTTGTCCAGTCTGCTTTGATTTGTTTCTGTGGTAAAATAATAGTACGCAGATTGGGGAATCCAAATTATCATCAGAATTAGCTGTAAAGTAAACTGAAGCATTTCAGGCTTATGCGCATCCAGCTTCCTACTTAACAGACTTCAATAACGCTAATAATGAAACATGGTGGCAATCAGAGACAATGAACGAGGGTATGCAATACCCAAATAATATCAATTTAACGCTGAGACTCGGCAAAACATTCGACATCACATACGTTAGGTTGAAATTTATCAGTCCACGACCAGAAAGTTTCGTTATTTTCAAGAAAACTCAACCCGATGACGAATGGATTCCGTGGCAGTACTACAGGTTCCTTAATTTCCATTTTGTTTAGTTTTTTCACTAATGTACTTGGCAGTGGCTGGCGGGCACGGTGAGTAGAAAGTAGCAGTGATATTGTGCAAAAGATCGAGCGTTTTACTCTGCCAGTGGGAAAAACAGTCTGATTCTTCATTCACTTTGGTCGTATACTGGTACTGGCGCTTGCCAGAGAGTCAAACTTGCCGTCAGCTTGCTTGTAGGCAACCCTCAAAAGAGGAGCCACTGAAAGCCTTGCCAGCGGAAGGCAAACACGGAGGGGATTTTGACTTTTTCACATTATACATTCCCCACTTTCGACTACTTCACAAATTGACAATTCAAGATGATTGGCAAATAGAGGTAGAGATGGGATAAAACTTATTTTTTTCAAGTGGTTCTTGTCGATCAACTTACGGAATGCCGGAGAAAGCACCAATCTTGCCGGGCAATGAGGCTGTCGCACAGTGTACCCGAGAATTCTCTGATATTTCTCCGCTGACCGGTGGCAATATTGCATTCTCGACACTGGAAGGGCGACCAAGCAGCCAGAATTTTGAGGAGAGCGAAACTCTTCAGGTCAGATTATTGCAAAAATTTTCTTTTCATCTTCATAGCTCGAAAATTTGTATTCTACGGAAGAGCCAAAAATAATAATAACCGCACTTAGATGTACTAATTCGGAGGGTTACATTCATTCCGGCAAGGGTCGAGAATTTGACTGCGCCATCAACTTATTTTTTAAGCAACCTTCGAATGTGGGAGCTATCGACAGCCTTGCTAGCAGGTGGTTGCTGTCGGCACTTACTACTAGTTAGGCTTATTTCCGAGAGCCTCTATCTCATAGACAGAGCGAATACTGAGGACAGAGCGAATCATCCATTCATATGAACTCAACATATAAGCATTTTGAGGTTAGTTAGACCGTGATGCTCGTTGTTTTGTTTCTGAATGTAGAGTCTTAGTATTTTTTGTATATTTTCATTTACGACGGACATTCCCGATTTTCTACTTCTTCCCGTGGAGAAGGGAATTGGTACTCTCTCTTTTTACCTTTTCCAGTGGGGCAGCATTCCTGATTTCAGGTCTTAACGAATAGCCGCAGTAGTTTAATTCTTTTATTATGTGTTTTTGCATCTTATACAAATGCAAAAACATATATTGACGAGAGATTGTCCGTGTGGGCATGTGTATGTGCGTTGTATTTCCTCGACATCTGCGTATGTGTGCATTTTTTCATCCTCGATGTCTTCTTTGTTGTTAAACTTGCATTTTT